CTCTCACAGGATGTAGGAGACTAAGTGCTGTCAGGTTGGTAAAAACTAAAACTTTTAGTTTTAATTCTTTTTCCAAATATCWTGCCTTTTTCAAAGCTAACTTCTTCACATTAGTTAATAGAAGAAATGTTACTTCTTCCACCACTCACTTTTCCAAAATTGACTATACTTTTAAAAGTCATTAAAAAGCAAAAGCTATCTGAGCAGATTTAGGAGGAAGTTCTTAAAAATCACACGAGGTTTCACTTAACTGTTCTGTGGTTAAAAAAACCCAACATATTTAAGAGCCTTAGAAAAACTCTTTCTGGAATATTTTTTCAAGACTATGACATCTAATGGTAAAAGTCAAAGTTTATCAGAGGGTAGCTTTGCCCTTTTTCAACCAAGTTGCCCATGAGACTAAAATAAGTTAACCACTGTCAAACAAGGATGAGATGCGTGGAAAGGAAAGTGCCCAATCAACAGAGTCTGAGGTATAGTACAAAGGAAYAATTCTAATAGTATCTGGAGTTCTTCATGTAACTGTTCTTGTGATAATTTTCTTAATGCTTCCCAGCTTGTTAATCAATTAGATATGCATCCCTGAATCCACAGATCGTCATTTTCCTGAAAACATTCATGACCTTTCCAGGCATAAAAGCCTGGAGGACTGAAAGCCCATGTGACTGCAAGGACAGCTGGACTTTTCAGCACTAAATTCAGCAAATAATGAAAGCTTCCTCTCTCAGAAACTGAAACTTAAAATCAGAACMTAGACACCTATCCYGAGTAACCTTAATGAGGYAGATTTCAGAAAATATCCCCCCTTSTGGAAATGAGTACCCACTGAAGTTGCTCAATCTCAATACAGATGAGTGGACAAGACACCATACACATTCAAAACACCTTGATCAACATGAGCACAGCTGCAAATTGTTAAAATACTTCTTCCAGCCAACTGGCACAACCAAGTGACAGCAGCAGGGAAAGATACAGAGCTTAGTTATTTGTTCCTGGGGCTGGCTATAGGGCAGAGGAGCTGGGATGAACAACACTGGGATCTAAATGAGGAGCTGTCTTTAAGCATAGCTGTGACTTTTCTCTGACACATCCAGACTTGTCTTTGGATGATGAAAACCATTTATGACTAGCCTTTTCTCTCCAAAACAGAACAYTTTGCTCTTTGATACTACTGTTTTKTATTATWGTTGTACTTAGAAGGAGGGGTTCTTTTGCTTAAAAACAGGAAAGGAACTCTTTGTGAACAAGAGTCTAAAATCTTGCTCTTGCATTGAGATAATAGCAGAAAAAATGGCACATCTGTGAGAAAGATACTGTAAGATACAATTTCAAACTGCATGCTGTAAAACATCATAGGAGATGGTGAAGATGAGAGGAAGAGGAAAGAAGTAAGAAAATGTAACTATTAAGTCAATTCAACCTGATTTGATTATTTCTAGCATCTAAAATTTCTCTGGGCTATAACTAAATAAATGCATACCACATCTCTCCAGCAGCTTTCTACTCGCTCTTTTTAATTAACAGGTCTCTACTACAGAGGCTGGAACAAGTCTAAACAAATTATTTAAAAAAACATTACTGTAACAGGCCAACTGACTATTTCAGGGAGAAAATTCCTCTTGCATAGCCTTTAGAGGTCACGAAACACCTAATGTATATATGGGATTTCTTGTTTATATCAGTCTTTAGGAATAAGGAAGAAATTTTTTTCTTTTTGCTCTTGGGCTAATGAAGAGAAAAAAATAATTTCTTTAAGAATATCTATAACTTTAAGTTCTCAAAGYAATACAGCACCATGCAGATAGAAGAACAACCTAGAAATCCCATCCAAAAAGCCAGTGATTTCACTATTTGACAGATTTCCCTCCCATTGAAAGATTCTGAGCAAAATCATAGAATTTAGGAAGAGAACATTCTCAMCAGTCCATTAGCAAGAGACAATGGGAGGAGAAAAACAACCTTAACATTCATGAGAAAAACTGCATGCCTAACGGAGGTATATACTTGTGTCAGAATGAAAACTGCACARTTACAGAACACTCAAATGGGCAAAGCATTTCCAATGCAGAAAGACAACTTCTCAAAGGCATATTTGTAACAAGAGGCAATGCAAGCAGCCTCAGAGTCCACAGACAACTGTCTGTCAGAAGTAGAAGCAGAATAACTGTAAGTAATCTCTTAAACATAATAGTACTAAGAATCATATTAATTAACAATAYGAACACTCATGAGACTGAGCCTTTTTTATTGCCTCAAAGCTAGAATTGGCCTGTTATGCAGCAAGAACAGTCATTGGGATTAAGATGGCAAATAACCGACAGAATCAGGCCCCAGGCATGCTTTTTCATCTTTACCATGCAGTTTTACACTAATTTAACTTAGTGTTTACATCTTCACTTTACAGTATGACACTGTAAATAACTGCACGGTTCCACGCACAGTCTGAACTGTCATATGCCATAAAATAATATTCTCTTTTTCTCATGCAACTAGATGCTCAAAATGAAGCATTTTGAACCTGAACAAAATAAAAAACTTGCATTTAATATGTCCATAGCAAAAGACATGTCCTGTGGGGATTATTATCTGACATGCTATTCAATATAACAATGGTACTGGTATTGCTGCTGAGCAGATCATCATTCTGGTTTGCTATATTTGAGGGTAGCCCCTTATTCAAAACAACACCATCGTATCCCTTCATGATTGTTTTGAACAAATGTCCAGAAAAAGTGTTTCTTCTTCATTATTAAAATGGCAAATGCATTTAAAACAATCAAGTAGTCAAATGCCTCTGTCCATGGTAGCATTTTAAGAAAAAGCCTATAATCAAGAGATGATGATATAGTAACTTAGAAATCAGAAAATAATTTRAACACCCAAAGGGATACATATAAAATTTCAGATTTAATCAAGACATTCATGTAAAATGCTACTTATTCTCTTAGGAAGTTGATGGGAGCTTCTCCAGAGACTTTGGATAGTCTTTGGCTCACGTTCCTACCTGCAGACAGGGACAGAGGACAGATATCCCTTCACGCCCAAGAGGGATAAGTTCCCATAAGTTCCAGTGCCTTGTAACTTCCATTCATGGGCAAAAAAATCTGTGTTTTAGAGGGTAATTTGTTTGTTTAAAAAAAAAATAAAGCCCATCATAAACTGTCATGAAATATTATAAAATCAGGAAATATTTCTGAACTAAAAAGATTGCCTATTTGGATGATATTCCTGGTAATCTTTTCCCCTCCCAAGAATAAATTTGATCCCTCAACCTTTATTCATATGAAAACAACATTTGCAAATGTGCACTGAAGTCAAGCCAACCAACTCTTATGGGTCAGACTGTAGCCCCATGTTCATATTGCAAAACAGTTGCACAAGTCTTTCAGATGACAAAAAATGAGCCAGTTTACATAACTKCTCATCAGTGTGAATAATGACAGTAATAAGGCCATAAATTGKAACAGTGAGGAGACTTGCTAGCATTGGCTATTTTTATAAATATTTTCAATTGGAAGTACAGCAAAATTAAGTATTTGACTTCATGAAAGCTGAACTTGATGTCRCTGAATTATTGTCAGACAGAGTGAGTAGATGCAATTTAATGCTTCTTAGTAAATGGTAGAAAATATTTATTTTCTATTTGTGCTTTTTTTGTGTGTGTTTTTTGGAGAGCTAAACAAGTTTCCACGTATACCACCAGTCAATCTTTGGCACTTCTCTCTGTACAGATRTCCTTTATTCTACCTATCTTTCTTCTTCTGACCTTCCATTGTTCAGAAATAGTGTTATCTCAATGTTTCAAACAATAAAACTATGCAGTGGATTAGAATCCCAAATACACACAAAATTTAGTTTCTATCTTTGCTCTTTGTGTTATCAAATAGTAGYCTTACCCTACAAATTAACCTGATATTTTGTTCTTAAAACTGTCAGCTACCATCTTAAACAACATATGGTACTCATAAATATTCTGCAAAAACTGCAGGAAAGAGAAAGACAGAGAGAAAGAGAAAGCCAGTAAAATTTCAATCATCTCAAATAATTTTTAATGTAATCAATGGGTTTGCAGATGATTCATTAAATAAAAAATGGTATGTTTAATCACTAAATGAYATCTATTTGTAACAATGAGGTGATTTTGTTGTCATATAAAGGCCAGAGAGAGAGCTGAGACACATTAAACACAAGGTGTGTAGCTATCTAAATTCTTCTGACTTTCCTCTGTTTTGGGAATACAAACATTTTCTAGAAATATTGAAGCTGCCAACTGGTGAGAAGACTTTATTTATCCATTTTTGTGCTACCGAGTAATATGAAAATATCAATGTCTGAAAACCCTGTCAGTTGTATACCACAATAATTTTCATGAGTTTTGGTTCAGTTATAACTACTAAACCATTGGAATGCTCAAATTGTAAGTTTGATGTCTGTCTTTTACAGCCATTAAATATGTTTTGCACACCTATATATCAACTAAAATATTTCAAAGGAGTAACTTTCACTAATAAGTAACAGGCTAAGGTGCACAAGAAAACACCCAAAGCCAACGTTACTCCACTGGGAATTTTCTTGAGTATTGCCTTTCTCTAGCAGGATCAGTTTTACAGAGCTCACTGGAATCCAGTTAGCAGAGGCATTTTAGAGAAAAATCCATCTTAATGCAAGAATTTTCCAGGCAAAAGTGTAGCTTAAAGTAAGAAATAAGTCACTRTATAGTTCTTAGTTCAGCTTCCCTCCTTCTGCCTTGCTTTGTTCTTTCCTATAGATCCACATTTGTTCATTTTGTGAACTCTAGTGTCTTATAGCACTTTTAAATTGAGAGGAATAAATTCAGGAAGAATGAAGGAGGGAAAAAGAAACTTCTGACCTGGTTTTACCAAAAAAAAAAATTAAACAAACAAAAAAATAAAGACGCTAAGATGAAAACAAAATAGTGCCATGGATTTACATATGGGGTTTTGATGGAAACTAGGGCTGGGTTTTAAATCAAAACTCACCATCTCAAAACCACTTCTTTTCATCCGCCTGCAGGACTTGAGGTAAGTACGTATGCGTTTTCTGGCACGCTCTTGATACTCAGGGAATTGTCGCCTGCATGAGTCAATGATAGCCTGGATCTTTTCTTTGGGCTGCTTAGAGATTGGGACCATTCGGTCCAAGTTTTCATCTACAAACAGCCTGACAAACATCTGTTGGCAAGAGGGAGACAGAGGAGATGGGTTTGGAGGGCAGCTCTCTTCTCTTCCTAGCTTCCTGGCTTGATTACTGATAGGAAGACATTTTTTTTCTATCCACTGAAGAGCTTTGTAATGGGAAGCCAGAAATATTAAGCAAACAGTTCTTAAAAAGGTTATTTGAGGTGGGGTGGGGGAGGGACTGATTAAAAAAAAAAATAGAAAAGAATAGTCTATAGGGTACAGAACTCGTGAGATAAACCAGAACAGATTGTGAAAATAGGCACTACTTAAGTTTCATTATTAACAATAAGCTGTGATTGCTAATCATTTTATTGAACTGACTCACATATTTTTTTTTGTTTGAACAATTTGTGTTTTCATGCATAATTATATACATTGGGAAAGCAATAGAGAAAAAAAAAATAGAGAACAGCTGACCACCAGAATGGTCTCCTGACAAAACTAGCTACAGCCTCTTTGCATTCAAAAGGTGAACATGCACATCCACACGCACGGTCACACATGCACATGTACAGAACAAAGCTTTGTTGTCCTCACTGGTAAAGATGGTACCCTGCTTCAAAATTCTAAATAAAACACAGTAAATCTGTCGTCTGCTGGCAAGAGTTTAATGTGCATTAAAATAATAATTGAAATAAATCCTGCAAATAATTGCACCTTAAATATTGTCAGACTTACCCAAAAACAACAGTGCAAAAGGAATAGAAGAAGTAAACAAGGTGAGTGCAAGAGGGCTTACGTTAAAAGCTTTCAGTCGCTCAGCTTCTACCCCATCTGATTCATTAACCTTCTCAGGATCTTCTTGCTCATCATGGTCATCCTCATCCTCATCTCCTCGATTTAGGGACAGATCTTCAGCACCTCTGCCTACACTCTCATTCTTGCCAGAGTCATAGCTTGAATAGCTATGTGCAGGGGACTGAAAATAGAGAAAAGGAATATGCTTGTAAAAATTCTCAGGAAAAATAAGGTCCTACTTATCAAAAGTGCTTGATAAATATTTCGAGRATTCCATGAATTCTTTTTATACTTTGTTCAACATAAAGTGCTCCTAATCCTTCCAAGAGCAAACAATGCATACTTATATAAATTTCAATGCTTTAAAAAAATGTGACCAACTGCAAATTTAGTAAATCTGTTAACAAATTAATTACCTATAGTAATTACAGTTCACATGAAATGTTTGCCATACAGCCTTGTTTAAGTACTACCTACAAAATTTTCTTACAAATACTAACTTCTTTGTATTAATCAAGATGTGAATAAGGGATAGTTGATTTGAACAAAACTCTAAAGAATTAAAATTTAAACATTTCAAGGCAAAGAGGATTCAAGTAGGCAACACTGACATTCATCCAATGAATATTAAATACTATCAAGAGATTCAAGAATTTATTCAAAATGAGGAGATGATTATGATCTAGTTTCACTTGCAAAACCCCAGAATGAATTAGAGATGTGTAGGTTTACATTTCGCATTCTCTCTGAGAATCGTGTAGTAAAACCATTTTCTCTTTGAAAATCAGCATCCAGAACTTTCYCCTGAGCAGAAATGCATTTTGTTGGATAAAACAGATGACCATCTCAATAAAGTGTATCCACTTGTAGCACCAGAGTTTGCAATTACTGAAAGCTAATACAGTGCATTTTCCTTGCAATATCAAGTCCTCAGTTCCTATTTCCACTGCATATGCTTSAAACTGCACTCCATAAAAAGGCATCAGTAATAAAAAGCTTTCTACAACTTAACACTCTACAATCAAAAACTTAAAGGTCAAAGCTTTTCCCCAGCCACACAAAAGCATGAGGGAATATCTCTACCAGAGYCATCAGATTCACATTTAAGTAATGCAGAGTAAAATCTTCTGTATTTTAACACTGTAATATTTTGCTATTTTTTTCTCTTGCTTCAAAGCATTCTGTAGTCTGAATCAGGTGCTACATGACAACTTCACACACTTTTTTTTAGATACTTTCTGCCTTAGTGTCACCAAAAGTCAGGAGCATAAATTGTCAACCAAAAATATATTTCAAAACTTAAAATGGCACGCCTCAAACCACATTCTGACCTCCCTAAAATTGTCTTTATTTCAGGGTGTTTTGCCAACCACAGAATGAATCTGGACAGTGAGGTAGAACAGAAAGACCACCAAAACCATTCATCTGTAAGGTATATTTTTTGCTTTTTATTCTTACTTCAGCTTCTTTTTTTTTTTCATTTCCCTATTTTCATTTCCATCTTACATTCGTCCTCTGTACACCATCAGTCTTTGAGTTGCCTGCCTTGTCATTACAGTAATCATATTCCAAGCTTTCCTTTTTCATATATCTTCCCCAGGCTATGTTCTCCYAGTACCAATCCCCTGGAGTTCCACTTTTTAATCCCTAATGTGCCTAATATCAGAASCTGAAGTCTCTCTCATCCACTTTGCTGAGTCTCTTCACTCTCTAGACCCCTCTCCATCCCCAGATGTAGGAAGAATGAGAAAACATCAGAAGAAAACAGCTGGACCCTGGATAAAAATATCTTCAACAACTAGCAAGCTCAGCTTCGCCTCCTATGGGGCAAGAAATTTGCCAGGTAGACGTGAAATGGCATGGGCAGGTAAGTCAGATGGGAAGATGGCAGCTGTGAGATGGCATGGGAAGATAAGGCTTGTGTCGGTAAAGGGAAGACTCAGACCACTCAATATGAGTTATAAGCGAACTTCGATTTATTGTAAACAATGTCTAAATTTTATAACATACATAATTAGCTCATACATATTCTGTAATACATGTATTTCATAGGTCCACGTCTTACACATCAACTCCACCTCTAATGATTCACTTGCCAAATTTCCCTTATCTACTTCTACTTTTTCCCAAGGCTAACTAGCACAAATACCTCGTAGGGAGTTTCCAGCGGCTTAAAAACATGATGTSCTTGCATTGCCTTCCCATCGCCTCAGAAGGATGGTTCACACAATTTCAGCAATTATTCTATCTGAGCGCGACACCTGCATTCCTTCATCTCACCAAGCTGTAAAATGTCTACGTGACCCTTCTCAGCTCAGCTAGCCTTCCACAGGCTTGCGAGAGCAGCARAAACAAAATTCCAGTTATTGATACACTGATACTTTGCCCAGTGAAGATGATGAGTATCCACATTGCTGCCCAGTCAGATAACTTTRGGTTCCATCCTAAAGGAGGTGTTGGCTCTATCTTATCAGAGTGTCTAACATATGTAAGCAACAGCGTTTAACCTGGCCAGTGGCTACCAGAAGGCCAACAGCTGCAGTCTGGTACCTGTTACAAAGGAGAAAGAGTGATTTCCCCTAATCCTGAATAGATTCTCAGAAGACACATTTTAAAAAAAACAAAGTTACAACTAATTAATTGCTACTATTGTATAGTGCAGTGCGGTAGAAGGTCTGACCTATGCTGCAAGACTTGTTCTTCTGTACTTCTTTGTTTCACCTGTCACCACGACTCTATAGCACGCATAAGGCTTTGAGATAATCAAAAAGCCATTTCATGTGCTAAGCACCACATAAAGCATAGAAGCTGCTGCCCTAAAGAAACCTACTGACTGAAATCCTTGTAGTGCAGACAGTTGATCTCGCATGAGTCATTTCATCAGACTAAATCCAATTAGACTACTCATGTGCACAAAGTTAAACAGATGCAAAACTGATTTCAGTATGTACRTATGTTCCGGCTGGATGCCAAGATCATAAATTATGCACCAGGACTGAGATTTCCTTTTGTGAAGGAAACAAATTCAGGCCAAAATGGCTTTACTATGTATCCCAAAAATGCAACCGTCTGGATTTTTTTGTTGTTGTTGTTGTTGTTGTTTTTGTTTTGTTTTGTTTGTTTTTAAAGAAAGCATTACATAGAGCACCTTGTCCAATATCATCTCTAAAGGTTTTATTTAAACAACAACTTTAGTATCTCAAATGAAATGTGGGGAATAACAGTCTGAGAAAGTCGCACAACAGGTATCTATATTTATTCACTGTGAATTTGAAGACTGTGTACAGTACCAGGAAAAAGAGACATTTTTCCCCTAGGTATTTTCTCAGCAAACAAGTTTGAGGGGAAGAGGGAAGAGTTTGCAAAAGAACAAAATTTCTACCTTTCTGTATTTCTACACAGATGAATATTGATTCAGAAACAGAAGAGATGTTTCTCRCTTGTGTTGACTCTGCAGTTGTGCAAAAGTCAAGAAGGATTTCCTTTTGCTACTGTATTAAGCAGTTGCAGTGCTAAACAAAGAGTAGGACAGCAGAGGACAACTTGGACTTTGTACATGCTTCCCAATTTTAGGTCTTGCACTGTCCTTACAAAAGACTGCTCCCACCTTTGAAAGACAACAACATGCTCATTCAGATTCCTGAGCAGCCCTTSACACAGACATTTTATGGTCCTGCAGTGAACTAGACTGAAGAGGTGATCCTGGTTAAAATGTTTTGGTTTTGCTCATTTGTAGATTTGGGGTTTTTTTTATAATATTTGCCAGTCTACTTAAAACCAGAATTAGTTCTTGGCTCAGGTTCACCATCTGATAGCACAARCCTTTGTGCTGACAGGAAAGTTTGAGCATGGAAGAGAGAGAGGGAGCATACATATCTCTGTTGACAGCAATGGAAGACTGAAGCAATGGTGAAGTGGAAGCACTAGGATATACAAGATGCTTCACAGGTGAATCYTTTGTGCTTAACAAATCAGGGTTGGAGAATAAAGTGACAGCAATGAGAAATAATTTAACGAGAACAAATGAGGGCAAGGCTAAGGACAAAATTATTTCCTTCCCCAAACATTTAGATGATTATCAAGTTGTCTTAAAAATACTTAGATGTTGACAGTTAAATTCTGACCACTTTGTCCTTGCCCTTTTTTGAAGGTTCTAAGCTCATTACTTTAATYTCTTCCTTGAAATAATAACTACCAGGCACTTCTGCTTTATTAAAATGAAAGTAAAGGCTCATGCCTAACATCCTGTTTTAGGAGGTTGTGACATGAAATACCAACCTCTTTCTAAAACATTGCAGGCCAGCAACAACATTCACCTGATGCAGGGTGTCAAATCATACAACAGAAGACCTGGGAGGACATCACAGTGTCATCTACTTTACCTTGCTGCCACAGAACAAGGTCAGATGGTCAATCCTGACTACTGTTTGTCTGGTTGTTATCTTAAGACTTCCAGTGACAGATGCCATGCATCCCCCAGACAACCTGCAAAAGTGTTTTACTGTCTCCAGAATTATTAAAACATTCTTAACACCAAACTCTGACTTTCACAAACAGTACTAAACCTATTTCTTCTTCACRCATCTACCACAGATTGCAAGGGAGGAAAGGTGTGGCATTGGAGAAAAGAGCATTCTCTTCCCTCTTTATGACACTCTTTCCAACATCTGTTATCATGTCCCCTTCCCTCAATCTTCCGAATAAATTCATTTATGCTGTGAAACTCCTGTTTTCCTGATTCCTAATCATTCTTATTGGTCTTCTCTGGATGTTTTCCATTTGGTTTGRAACCTTCTCAAAAAGCAAGTGCCAAAATGTATTCCATTTGCAACCTTTCTATGAAAAATAAATTTCTTTCTTGTTTGATTAATTCCAGCATGCTTACAGCAGAAAAACCCTACCCCTTTCTTTGCAGAATATCCCGAAGATGCAAAAGACAGCAGTGCAAAAACCCTACAGCTGCCAACAGAAGTGATGCTGTTGTTTTATGAGAACTAAAGCAGAAGAAATCCATAAAATTTAAAAATATGRAGTCTGTCATAGTGCTCCAGTGCCTGCTGGGCTTTGACACTGGTGTRTGGCCATCAGACAAGGTTTGGAGGATGACACCACATGAACTCATCGCAGGAGGCTCATCCCAGCAGAGACTCTTGGTTACCCTGGTGAGTGTACAAAGACGGC